GGGGGGAGAGGACGGACAGATGGACACAGGAGACGGCAGAGCCAGGGCGTGTTTGGGGAACGTTTTATTGCCTCGTTTCCGCGGGGAAGCGCGTCCCGCCGCCCGGAGGCTGGCAGGGCCCCCCCTCACCCCCGCCCCGCGACGGCTACAAAACGGGGGGCGATTGTTTTTAAAAAAGAACTCCGCGCGGAGGGCCCAGGGGTGGGGGTGGGCGCCCCCCATCCCGCCCCCCCCGCAGGAGAGCGAGGGGGTCTGCGCGCGAGCGTCGGCGCGGAGGCGGCCGTCTGTCCGTGTGAAGAACCCCCGAACCCCCCCCCCCCCGCCCGGGCTTCCCGGCTCACCCTGGGCCGGGGAGGGGGGGCTGTGCAACGCGTGGTGGGTGTCACATCATCGAGGGAGCGTACAGAGAAGGCGGGGAGCCCAGGGCTGCCTGGAACCCTGCACCCCCCCCTGCTCGGGGGGCCCCTCCTGGCCCCGAGCCCGGGCTGGCCGGGTCAGGCGTGGTCTCCGAGGAGGAAGGTCCCATGGAGGGGGACAGAGGGGGGGAGGGGTCGAGGCCCCCCCCTTGGCTCTCCCCCCCACCCCGGGGCCGTCCGTCCAGGTCGGGTCCCACCACCGGATCCCCCCCCCAGCGTTAGTCATGAGTCCGGAAGAGAGCGCGGAGGGGGCGATCGGGGGCCAGAGGAGTGATTTGTGAGGGGGGGTGCAGCCTCCGCTCCCGCAGACACGGGGCGAGCGTGCAAACTCACACCCGCCGGAGGCGAGCTGGAAAAAGCCAGCAGTGAGGAGAAAAACAACCGTGGCGCGGTGGGCGGGTGTGCTCCGCCACCGCCCGCCATGGGCCTTGAGACCTCACAGAAAACTCGCTTTTGTGTTTTCTCCTCGGGAGGAGGAGTCGTCTCTGCGCGAGCCACGCGTGCCACGGCGGCTGGGGGCCAGGTGTGTGTGCGTGGCCAGGCTGCTAGACCACGTACTGGTACGGGTCTGCCTTCCCGTGGTCTGGCGTGGCAAAGGGACTGGCCCAGCCCAGGGAGAAGGGGTGGCCGAACACGGCTTTCATGTTCATCCACTTTGTTTTTTTAGCCCATCTTCTCTCTTCCTTTTTCAACTGCTCTATTCCCTGAAAACAAGAACAATCACACTTTCAGTTAAGCGCTTCCAGGCGGGGGCTTTGGGTGGCCAGGGCCGGCCGTGAGCTGGATGCAGGTGGACTGGGCTGTGAATGCTTGCTTGCTTGCTTTTGGTGTGTGTGTGCACGTGCGTGTACGTGCATGCATGCCAGTCCTGAGATTTGAACTCAGGGCCTTGGGCACAAGCTGTCCCTCTCTGAGTTTTTGTGATCAAGGCTAGTGCGTTACTATGAGCCACAGCACCAGTTCTGTGTTGCTGTTGTGTTTTGGGGGTGGTTAATGAGAGAGATGAAGAGTTTCCTGAATTTTCCTTCTCGGGACTGGCTCTGCACCATCATCCTCAGATTTCAGCCTGCTGGGTAGCTGGGATGACAGGCGGGAGCCGTTGGCGCCCCGGCTGCTTCTCTTTTATTTATTTTCTGGTCAGTCGTGGGGCTTGAACTCAGGGCCTAAGCTCTCTGTCCCTCAGCTCTTCAGCTCAAGGCAAGCGCTCTATCTACCACTTGAGCCCCAGCACCCCTTCAGGTTTTCTGGTGGTTCATGGGAGATCAGAGTCTCACGGACTTTCCTGACCAGGCTGGCTTTGCACCACGATCCTCAGATCTCAGCCTCCTGAGCGGCCAGGATGGCAGGCGTGAGCCCCCGGCCAATGCTCCCTTCTTTCTTTGAGGAGCCTCTCTGTGTCTGGTGACGAGGGTCACCGGGCTCTGGAGGAACGCATGCGTGTCCGTGTGCGGCCCTGGGTGGGTGGGGGACCCCTCGGTGAGTCTGAGAGCCACTGCGACCGCTTTGCAGACAAAAAAAGGGGGGGGGAACCCCATCAAATGACTGCTCTGGCCCCGCGCCGGGTGAGAAGGAGGAGGGCGGACAGAGGCCCCACGGGTGAGGGAGGAGAGGAGTTAGTACGAGTTACAGGGCGCCCCGCAATGTTGCCTCAGTGGGTCCTGGGTGTGTGGGGGGGAACGGCGGCCTGGGAGAGGGGAAGGGGGGCGCTGAGCCCCAGCGCTGATGCCGTTGCTTCCCAGACCCGCATTTACTCAGAACCCAGAGCTGCTGGGCTGCACCTGGGGAGAGGGGGTGACCCCCCACCCCCAGATCACTGGACGGCAGCAGCCTGCACCCCCCCACTCCCAAGCTCGGCTCTCCACACACAGGCCCCAAGTGCTCCTCCTTTTTCCTGGCCCCCCCAAAAAAAACCCGCAAGGGGGGGGACATGGCCGCCCCACGGAGTGACCCGAACCTCCCCCCCCCCCGGGCCGCCACTCACCGTCTCGTCCGTGCAGATGGAGTGCACCTGCGTGCCGAACATCACCGAAGTGAAGATGAGGAAGAGCAGCGCCTCGAAGCACAGCAGGATGAGCAGGATGACCGTGGCGGGCGGCGAGAACGAGCTGCACTCTGCAACGCAAAGGCCCGCGCGCTCAGCGCCGGCTGCGCATCGCGCCAGCGCCCGGCCCTGGCTGGAGATGGGTCCTGCGAGGTGGGGTTCGGCTGCACTGGTTTTGAGGGTGCCCCCCCCTTTCCCGGTCTGCGAAGGTACTGGGGGGGACCCCCGGGGACATGCCTCGCCCCTCTGCAGGGCTCCTGAGGGATGAACTCCAACAGAGAAACACTCTGCCTAGCTCTCCGCTGAGGTCTGGGGAGCAGCCCATCCTTGGGGGGCCCCGGGGAATATATCGGGGGGAAAAGGAGGCTTTAGAGCCCAACTCTGTACTCTGCGCTCCCTGGCTTCCCCTGCCTGCCTGCCTTCTCCCCCTCCCTCCCTCCCTTCCTTCCTTCCTTTCCTTCCTCCTCTATGCCGGTCCTGGGTCTTGAACTCGGGGCCTGGGTGCTGGGTCTGAGCCTTTTTGCTTCGGCTTGGCGCTCTACCACTTGAGCCGCAGCTCGGCTCCCTGCCTTGTCTGCTGGTTGGAGAGGAGAGTCTCACGGACTCCTGCCCAGGCTGGCTCCAAACTGCGGGCCTCCGATCTCAGCCTCCTGAGCAGCTACAGCATGGCGGTGGGAGCCCCGGGAGGCCGGGGACTTTTTCCTGTTGGTTGTGGGGCTTGAACTCAGGGCCCGGGCGCTGTCCCCGAGCTCTTGCTCAAGGCTGGCGCTCCACCAGCCACAGCTCCGTTTCCGGTTTTGTGGTGGTTCGCTGGAAATAAGTCTCATGGGTTTTCCTGCCTGCGCTGGCTTTGAACCGGGCTCCTCAGATCTCAGCCTCCTGAGATCACAGGGGTGAGCCCCAGGCACCCCACTAAGACTTTTGTTTTATTCAGGGCTGCACCAGCAGACCAGAGCTCAGCAACTAAAGGATTCCGGCGCAGGGTTGGATCTGGGATTTATTTACTTTCCCTTTCTGTACTGGGGGGCAAAAAGGATTCATGGGAGACTGGGAAGGTGGCTCAGTAGTAGTGTGCTCGCCTAGCACGCATGAAGCCCCAGGTTCAACTCCTCAGTACCACCTACACAGAAAAAGCTGCAGGTGGCGCTGTGGCTCACGGGGTAGAGTGCAGGGACACAGTGCCCAGGCCCTGAGTTCAAGCCCCAGGAATGGCCAAAAAAAAAAAAATAAAATTCATTAGGTAAAATAGCCTGGGGGGGGGGAGAGGGAGTTGCAAGGCTCCACCTCAATTAGTAAGCCAGGTTTGGTGGTACATGCCTGTAGTCCCAGCTACGTGGGAGACACGAGGTAAGAGGAATAGGATGGGGAGCTGGCTCTGGAAACATCGGGGGCCCTATCTAAAAGTGGAAGCAAGAAAGGACTTAGGGATATGGCTCAAGTGGTGGAGAGCCCACGCAGGTAAGCTCAAGGCTCCGAGATCCAAACCCCAGTCACACACACATTTGAAAAAGACGGAGGAAGCGGCGGCAGCATTTGCTCCGTGCAGCACCGAGCAAGGCCACGGGGGAGGCCGGCGCTAGCTACTCGGCCAGCTGAGATCTGGGGATCGTGGGTCAAAGCCAGCCAGGCCAGGAAAGCCCATGAGAGCCTTAACTCCAACAAAACCCCAGAAAACCTGGCGGGGGGGGGGGCGGTTGAGCCACGACTCAAAATGGGAGCGCGGCGGCCTTGAGCGAAAGAGCTCAGAGACGGCGCCCCGGCCCCGGGTTCGAGCCCCGAGACCGACAGAAGGAAAAACTACGTGAAGAGACAGAGATGTGGGAAGGAAGCTCCCTCGCCCGCGTGGGGCCTGGCCTCGGGGCTCCCCACGTTACCTGCGGGACCGCCTGCGAGGGGCGGCCTCGTGTGGCGGAGGGAGGCCCGGGCCTCTGCGCTCGCTTTCCCGGCCGCTCCGTACGCTTGGAGGATATCTAATAAAAGGAGGTCGGAGCCCGGCCCAGGGCAGGGTCGTGAGAGCCGCCCCCCCCACTTCCACCCTCACCCCGCTGTGGAGGGGGACGGACAGGGGGGGGCGCGTGTCACCCCCCACCCGCGCGCACACTCACTCGTCCAGTCCTCCTCGAAGCAGTGCAGGAAGTGGAAGCCCACCATGACGAGCGCGTGCAGGGAGATGAGAGCGATGTACATCTGCAAGAGCACGAGAGGCGCCGCGTGGGGGGCGGGGCGGCCTCCTGACCCGCCACCCCCCCCCTCCGGAGGGAACCCCGACTCACTGTAAACAGGACGAAGTATTTCTGGTTGTTCTCGCCCACGCAGTTGTTCACCCACGGGCAGTGGTGGTCCATCTTGCGGATGCACCGCTTGCACACGCTGGCGAGATACACGAGGGGGAGACCTTCAGGGGGGGCCCACTGCCTGGGAGGGGGGGGCGGTCCCTGCCCCTCCCCGTGGGGGAATGCGACGCCCCCAAGGGACCGGCCACATGGGAGGCTGGGACGTGAGGATCGCGCTTTGAGGCCAGCCCGGGCAGGACGATCCGTGAGACTCCTATCTCCAACGAACCGCTCAGGAGAAACCTGAAGCGGCGCTGCGGCTCCGGGCGGTGCAGCGCTAGTCTCAAGAGAACAACACTCCAGGACAGCACCTGGGCCCTGAGTTCAAACCCCAGGACCGGCACCAAAAGTTAAGGGAAAAAAAAAAAAGTTGAAAAAGAAGGCCGACTGGGACTTTGGGGATCACAGACCACAGGGGACAGAGGCCCGCACACCCCAGCCCTCTTGGCTGTTGGGTGACGGTGGAGAAAGACGTTCCCCCGGGGTGACAAGGAGTTTGAGATCAGGCTCGCATGAACAACAGAAAAGGAACAAAATCACTTGTACAGCTTGACCAGGTGGCGTAGCCGAGAGAGAAGAATGTTCCTGACCCCCCAACTCCCCACAAGAAAGTGGGGGGAGATGAGTGCCAGCGGCCTGTCGTCCTACTTACTCAGGAGACAGAGATCTGGGGGTCACGGTTCAAAGACAACCTGGTCAGGAAAGTCCATGAGACTCTCATCTCCAATGAACCAGGAAAAGCCGGAAGTGACGCTGTGGCGCAGGGGTAGAGCGCCAGCCTTGAGTAAAAAAGCTAAAGGACGGTGCCCAGCCCGAGTTCAAGCCCCAGGACTGGAAAAAAAGCTCCTTGTGTGGGTGGCCTCGTGCCTGGTCCCCCGAGATCACTGGGGAAGCTCCCCGCTTTCCGAGGAGAAGCGTCTGCCGCCTCCCCAGTCTGTGATTATCAATGCTGTCACTCCTAGTCTGAAGGCAGGTGGCCGTGGTGATAAAATGTCACCAAGGGCCGGGCGCTGGTGGCTCTCGCCTGTCACCCTAGCTACTCAGGAGGTTGACTTCAGACGATCCTGGTTCAAAGCCAGTCTGGGCAGGAAAGTCTGTGAGATGCTCATCTCCAGTGAGCTACCACAGGCTGGAGGTGGTGCTGTGGCTCAAGTGGTAGAGCGCCAGCCTGGAGCAAAAGAGCTGAGGGACAGCGCCCAGGACCCGGGCCCAAGCTCCAGGACCCGCACAGAAAGAAAGAAATGAGGCAAAAAGCGGCTCAAGCGATAAGAATGCCTATGTAGCAAAGGTAAGGCTCGAGTTCAAACCGCAGCACCGCCAAAATAAATGAATCGAGTAAAACACGCAGTTATGCATGCCAATATACGTATGACACACCCTCCCTCACGATATACATCCTAGCTGGTAACATCTGTCAGACACTGTTCTCCAGAGAACCACCACGGTGTCTGCTTCCCGAAGGTTCCTCCCGATCTCCGCTGGCTGTAGGGCTTCTCCTCCTTGCTACTTACTTCATTTATTAAAAATAATAGTAATTTTTTTTTTTGGGGGGAGGGTCGATCCTGGGGCTTGAACTCCAGGCTTGGGCACTGTCCCTGAGTGTTTCCCCTCAAGGCTGGGGGTTCTACCACTTGAACCACAGCTCCACTTCTGGCTTTTTGGCAGTTACTTGGAGATCGGAGTTCTTTCCTTCCATCCATAGTCTGACTGGCTCGCCACCTTTTTGACTGAAAGGGATGGTGGGCCGAAGTGTGGTGGGATGGAAAGATTGGGGGACCTGAGAGCAGGTTCTCATCGAACCGAAGGGGGGGGGGAGGGCTCAAGTTCTGTTACCAGCCTCTGCAGATCTACCCCGTCCTCCCGGATGAGCCCCGATAACGGACGCACAGCGATGCATCGGAAGGTGTGTGGGCGCCACAGGGCTGGGGTCGGCCGCGTGTGGGGTGCACGTTAGGTCTAGGCCAGGAAAAGGGTCTTCAGCTCTACCCCCTGCCCCAGAACAACCTATCCCCCCAGAAGCCTGCTGCCCTGGCCGTCCACGTAAGCATTTCAATGGCTCCACCCACATGAGCATCCATGGCCCATCACATTAGCATACTTGGCTCCACCCACACCGAGTTCTACCCTCTTCTTGGGTCCACTGAGTGGGCAGATGGAAGCAGCCTGGATCCCCAACACTGCAGGGAAAGATCCCCCCGCCCCCACCTCAAGGCTGGTGCTCTACCGCTGTGAGCCACGGCGCCATGTCTGGCTCTTTTGGCGATTCTCTGGAGGGAAGAGTCTTCTGGGGAGACGTGTGTGTGTGTGGGGGGGGGGTACCTGCAGTGGTGGGCTCGGTCCGGCTTGATGCTGCAGCACTTGGGACACTTGTAGACCACCTGGCCGGGCTTGAGCTGTAGGCTCTCGATGAACTCTTTGGTGGCATTTCCCTTGGGCACGGCCCCCTGTGGAGAGGGGGGGGGAGGCGTCAGGCCCGGGCGGGTGCGTTCTGCAGGGCAGAGTCATCATTCAGATCCACATCCCAAAACACGTCCACACGGAGGATTCTATTTTTTTTTTCAGTGGTGGGGCTCGAACCCAGGGCCCGAGCACCATCCCCAGCCTCTAGTGTGCTCACGGCTAGTGCTCTAGCACTTGAGCCACAGCACCACTTCCGGCTTTTTTCTGTGTAGGTGGGCCTGAGGAATGGAGCCCGGGGCTTCGTGCGTGCTAGGTAAGCGCTCCACCACTAAGCCACCCAACCACCCCCGACGCACCGGCCAGCCTTCCTGCTCCCCTGCCCAAACCTGTGTGATAGCACACGGGGCCTCTTACTCCACTGTAAATTTGGGAGGGGCACAGGCGACTTTCCACTCCCGGGGCCAGGCGCGAAGCCAGCCCTGGATCAACCCACGGGGAACAATAACCCACCCCACAGACGTGGAGCGGGCGCTCGCATACCAGGCATAGTTCCGAGTGCTTTCTGACAAAGAGCGGCTGTCGGCGAGCACAACAAGAAACTGACAATAAACCCATCAGCCCGAGACCACGCTCTGGTCCTCACTTCACAGCGGAGGTAGAGGTTGGAAGCCAACCAGGCGACCCCAAGGGGCAGCTCTAGAAGCCAGATCCAGCCACCCAAGTGTAGAACTTATGCCTTGATCAAAAGCCAACCCAATTCACTGGATCCCTACTTAAGTAACTTTATCGTGCCGGTCCTGGGGCTTGAACTTGGGGCCTCAACGCTGTCCCTGAGGGATGCTCGTTTCCCCCCTCAAGGCTGGTGCTTGGCCACTCACGCTTCAGCTCCTTTTGGCTTTGGTGGCGATTCATCAGAGGTGAGGGCTCACAGCCTCTCTGCCCCGGGCTGGCTTCAAATGGCAATCCTCTAGACCTCGGCCTCTCGGGCAGCCAGGGGGACAGGCGGGAGCCATGGGTGCCCCGCAGTCTTTGCTTTTCCGTCGCCTCGATGCTGTTGTTAAGACGCGAACGGCCTGGGGAATGAGGCCTTCCTTCCCGGCGTGGTGAAGTGTCTAAGGACTCCACCATTTTTACCTGCTGTCATTTACCACTGAAAGGCACCGGCATTCTGGGGTTTGGGGGTGGGGCGCATGCGCGCTCCCGGCTTGTCCTCCTCTCCTTGATGGACGGGGGGGTCTCTTGGGGCCCGTGCCCCAAGGCTGGCCGTCTCCTTTGTGAGAAGGTGGAAGGTGGGGGATCCCCCAAAGCATCACGTCCTCTCTCTGGGACACGGCTTCTCGGGGCTGTTTGAAAGTGGTAGTGACGCCCGGCATCCTGGCTACTCGGGAGGCTAAAAACGGAGGATCACGGTTGGAAGATAGCTGTGGTTGGAAAGTCCAGGAGACTCTCATCTCTGATTGATCACCCAAAATATGGAAGTGCAGTCAGGGTGCAAGCAGGAGAGCGCCAGCCTTGAACAAAAAGAAGCTCAGGGACAGCGCCTGGGCCCTGAGTTCAAGCCCCCAGACGGGAGTAAGAAAATAAAAGCAGCAGTGGCAGATGGGAAGCCGCTGGGCAGAGTCCCGGATGTGGTTTGGGAGCAGGCCGGCCCCTCCCTCAGGTGAGGTGGACCTGGCTGTTCCCTAGATGCAACAGCGCCCGGCCAGCAGCAGGGGGCGCCCGAGCGTCACTTGTCTGAATTCCCAATGCCCCCCCCCACCCATCCTTCCTGGGCTAATGCCTGCCCCCTCGCCCTGGCACCCTCTCGGTGGCCTGCGGTAGTGTGAGACAGTCCCAGACTCGGTCTACATTGACATGGGACCTCCAGCCTGGCAGGGATCGGGAGATGAATTTTCTTTTCTCGAACAGTCTGCTGAAATCGAACAGATTTATCTTCTACCTTTTCTCAAAGCTCAGCTTTGAAATCATTTTTTAGTGTTCACTGATGATTAGGTCCGAGGAAAAGAAGGACAAAAACAGCTTAACGCCAGGCGCCGATGGCTCACGACTGTCATGGTTGCTACTCAGGAGACTGAGATCTGAGGATCACAGTTCAAAGCCAGCCTGGGCAGGAAAGACCTCGAGACTCTGGGAGCCACCAGTGGCCGGCACAGCATTGCTGTAATCGTGCGAGGCTTGGCTTCGCGCTTCTTTGCAGCCGGGCTACTAATGAGCTGCGTGGCTCAGCTCTACGCATCTTCTGGGAGACACTGCCCCAGATCTGACTTTCCCCGATGAACGAAGGAATGGTTCACAGGCTGCAACATCAGACCGCGTCTGGGACTAGAAAAGCGCGGGGGTGGAAATGGGGAAAGGAGGGGAAGGAAGGGGGACTTCCAGGGTGCAACCTGTCTTCAAGAGGAGCTCTCCATTCCTCTGCATTCCTGCAGCTGTGTTTCTGGGAGGCAGGGAGCGCGTCGGTTGGCATTCACAATCTCCGAGTGGCCGGAGGGGGGGTGGGTGAGCGGTCAGATGCCACAGGACTCGACCCACTGGTGCCCGCCGGGCTGCGCGGTCCACTTGTGCCGTCCCTGCTCCATTTCTCAAGCGGAACCTCCCCACGGAGGGGCCGCTGACAAGTTCAGGTACCATGGCGCTGGAAGGAATGACTGCCAGCTGGCTGGTTGTGTGTTTTTTCTTTTTTTTCCTTTTGGGTCGTTCGTGGGGCTTGAACTCTGGGCCTGGGCGCTGTCCCTCAGCGCTTCAGCTCAAGGCGAGCGCTCTACCACTTGAGCCACAGCGCCACTTCTGGTTTTCTGGTGATTCATTGGAGATCCGAGTCTCACGGGCTTTTCTGCTTGGGCTGGCTTCGAACCGTGATCCTTCAGATCTCCTTGGCCTCTCCAGTGGTTGGGGTGATGCGCTCAAGCCCCCGGTACCCGGCTTCGATCGAGACTCCCAATGGTCTCTGATTCACCTCCACGTCGGTCCTCAGACCCAGCTGATTATGAGCCACACGAGTGTTCCAACGCCCAGAGCCCGGCTCCCAAAGCAGTTAAAGCCAGATCGAGGGGTGAAGGGCACCCCTGCTCCTCACTTCTCTCCGTCCTACCCTGAACCTCGGCTTGCAAGCACAATGCCAATTGCTTAAAACACCCAGCCCCTCTCTCTCGATGGCTCGGTTTTAATCACTGCTGCATGGAACACCTCGTCGGTCATGCTACTCTCCGGTCTCCGCCTTTGCAGCACCGGCCGCTTTCACCAACCACCTCCTTCGCTTCGCTTTTCAATTATATGCGTTGTCTTTTAAAGCTGTCACCCAAGGCGTGATTACTGGTCCTGTCAAAACCACCTGGCCTTCCGCCTGTCAAGAGGCCGCGATCCTAGGATCCCGGTTCAAAGCCAGCCCAGGGAAGAAAGGCCATGAGATTCTCATCTCCAGAAAACCAGAAGTGGCGCCATGGCTCAAGTGGTAGAGCGCCCACCTTCAGCGAAGAAGCTCGGGGACAGCGCTCAGGCCAAGCTCAAGTCCCAGGATGGACAAGAGAAAACAAAACCCACAGCAAACCCAAACTGGAAGTGGAGCCATGGTGCAAAGCGATAAGAGCACCTGCCCTGAGCAAAAGAGCTCAGAGATGGCGCTCAGGCCCTGAGTTCAAGCCCTACGACCAACAAAACAATGAATAAACCTTAACTTTCCAGTCTCATCAAGCTACTAGTAGTTCTGGAGGACCTCCCATGCCCTGGCGCCCAGGGGCGCTCTACATGTGCTTGATCCTGTCTGGTAACCCCATGAATAGCACTCATACTGGGCCGGTGTGTGCGGGCGTGTCTGAGGCTCTGGTGTCATGGAGCCAGGAAAACCGCTCTCTTGTGGGCTGGATCAACGGCTCACCAGCCAAACTGATAAGAAACGGGAACCCCGGGAGGAGCCCGGCCCGGGACCCCTTCATCTCCACTGTGCTTTCCCGGGGCTCACAGAAACAGCACATGGGTGGCCCGCACCTCTGCCCTTAGCAGCGCTTTCCCTTTCTTCGTTCACACTCGCACACGCGTGAAACCGTCACGCCACAGGGGGGGCCTTATCCAAGAACGGCTGTCTGGCTTTGCTCGTAGCCAGATCATGAACGGGAAAAGGATGATTTAATACTAGGCTGCAAAAACCAAAGCCGAAAGTCTGTCCAACAGCAAACTCGCGCGCACGCAGCTCGGTGTTAGTGACGTCACACAGGAGTGGCCGCCATGCCCACAGGTGTGCATCGAGAGACATCCTTTGAAAGGCCAGCGCTGGGGCTCGAACCCAGGGCCTCCATGTTCTTGCTTAGCATTTTTCCACTCAAGGCTGGCACGCTTCCCACCTGAATCAGGCCTCCTCCCCTTCTGTATTATTTTTACCGGCAAATTGGGTGACGAGAGGCCCACAGATTTTGCTGCCCAGGGCCGGCCTCAAACCCAGATCCTTAGATCTCAGCCTCCTGAGGGGCTGAGATCACAGGTGCGGGCCACGGGCGGCCGGCTACACCACCGTACCTTTCTGCCTCAGCAGCCGGTCTGGGCGGGAGCAGACCAGTCCAGCTTGGCAGATGGCGTACAATACGGTGCGCCATGTCCCCGGTGTCCCGTGGAACTCTAACCCCACGTGCTCCTGGGGTCCAGAGAGAGGAGCGTGGGGGCTCTGGCCGCGCCTCGGGGGCCGGGGGAAGAGCGACATACTCACAGGGTCCGTCAGCATGGCCCGGCAGTGGGAGGCCAGGGCCAGGAAGGCTAGCAGGTTGAACACGATCCCGTTGACGACGCTGTAGGCGTAGTCTCCCGAGGGTACGAGCATGACGAAGAGGACCACGAACTCCGCGTAGAGGACCAGGAACCAGGTGACGGCGGCACAGGCGATGCCACAGCCGTCTCGGATGAACCACATGGCGCCCGCGGGGCCGGGGCGGGGAGGCGGGACGCACTTCTCCGGCCGCAGGTACTCGGGTTTGCGCTCAATGTCTCGGAAGCGGTGGGCGGGGCTGAGCATCATAGGCTATTCTGTCCATACTGGCATCTGCGAGGACAAAGACCCACAGATGCCGCCAGGCCGGCTCAGCGCGGGCAGACCTGTGCCAGCCAGCTGCGGGCACGTGTGAGGGCGGGGCCGGACCCGACGCCTCCTGTGATTCCCCTGATCAGGATGCCGCGCTCCCCTCCCCTCGTGGGCAAAGTCCACGAGACGCCCATCTCCCATAATACACTTCAAAAAAAAAAAAAAAGCCAAAGTGAGGCTGTGGCTCAAGTGGTGGAGCGCCAGCCTCGAGCAAACAGAGCTTGGGGACGGCTCCTGGGGCCCCGAGTTCAAGCCCCGGGATGGACACCCACACAAACCCACAGATCCACACACATTCCAGCCCCGGCCACCTGATCCCAGGGTTGGCAGGGTGGGGGCTAAGCGAGGGGGTAGAGGTGCTTTAAGCAAGAAACTTTTCTTCCCCCACACCTGCCTACCAGAGTCACTGGAGAGAGCAAGAATATTGGGGAGCACGCAAGCCACGCCCCAGCACCGCCAGTGACAGCCTAATTAGACTTATTCAAAGACACAGGCCCTTGGCCAGACACCAGTGGATCAGGCTTGCTATCCTCGCAACTCAGGAGGCCGAGCGTTGAGGATCAAGGTTCGAAGCCAGCCTGGGCAGGAAGGTCTGTGAGACTCTCGTCATCAGCTGACCATCTAAAAACCCGAAGTGAAGCTGTGGTTCACTAGGGCAGAGCACCAGCCCTGAGTAAAAAACACAAGCTCAGAGCACTGAGTTCAAGCTCTATGACTGACAAAAAAAAAAAAAAATAACGCTGATGTAGTAAATGCAACCTCGACCACGTCTGGACACAGACTCGTCTATAAAGTACCCACTCTGGGACTTGACAGAGAAGTTTCCTGGCCCTGGATCTGAAGTGATCGCCCACTAAATAAGTAAGAGACCTGCCAGGATTCCCCACGGTGGTGAGGGACAAATCCCTGCGTTCCATGCGCAGCAGTCATCTATAGCCAAGAGGTCCATCTTTTCCCTTCTATCAAACGGTGCTTTGTCCTCAATCAAGACTATGCACACCTAGCGGGGCCTTGACTCTGCTAGAGCCACAGCCGGGGTGCTTCGTTTGGCCAAGGAATTGAGGGCTTCCTTGTAAGTAAACTAAGTGAAGCAGATGCACAGTTAGATGGTTATGGTGCAAGTCTTAAGAAATAAAACCAAATTGAGAGAGAGAAAGAGGAAAGGGGGGGGAGAGGAAGGGAAGAAGAAAAGGAAAGGAGGGAAGGAGGGAGTGAGGGAAGAAAGGAGGAAGGAAGGAAGGAAGGAAGGAAGGAAGGGGAAAGAAGGGTAGGATGCTACTAGGTATCACTGCTATTCCTGCCTTAAGTACAAGAGCCATCCGTTTCTTCCACGGTGATTTATAGCCATCCTGGGAACGTCAGTTACTAGAGTGTGCTAGGTAGGTAATGATGTCCCCAGGTGCTACAGAGATTCACTGTGGTCTTCAGTCTCACACCAAAGTGACCTGATCAGACAATTCTAATTCTGGCATCTGTTTGGTGTGGTTCTTGCTCCTCTGTTAACTGGCGGCTGGGCGGGGGGGTGTCCTCTGTTTACTACTGCTAAGGAGCTGGAACCGCAGTAAAAGGCGATCTCGTCGGGCCTCTCTGCCTGCTCTTGTCTCCGGGGTCTCTGAGGGCTGGACGGCTCCCCCCATCACTAGCCTGCTGCTGTCTCATGCTTCCTACAGTTTCAGACATCCGCTCCTTAACTCAATGCGAGGGCTGGGTGACCACAGGGCTCCCTTAGAGGTTCAGCCTGCTTACTTTCAGGACTGTGGCCATATTCCCAGAGGTGAAAGGTTCCCTCTTATTCTAGTAACCAGAATGTGTACCTTTTCAATTTTTTTCTTTTTGGTAGTAAACTAGTAAACTAGGTAGCTCTGTACCATTTAAGCCACAGCTCCACTTCTGGTTTTCTGGAGATAAGAGTCTCATGGATCTTCCTGCCCTGGCTGGCTTCAAATTGTGATCCTCACACCTCAGCCTCCCGAGTACCTAGGATGACAGGCGTGAGCCACCGCAACCCAGCCAGAATGTGCCATCTGTGAACAATCTGGGACCAAAGAGTACGCGGAGCAGCTTGGTTTTCCTGCTGTTATCACTGGTGGGGGGTGGCTTGGGATGCAGGAAAGAAGCTGGCCAGAGGGGCAGCAGGCAGCCGGGCGCTAATGGCTCGCACATATTATCCCAGCTACTCGGGAGGCTGAGATCTGAGGATCACGGTCCAAAGCCAGCCAGGGTAGGAAAATCTGTGAGACTCATCTCCAACTGAGATGAGTCTTCCAGAAAACTGGAAGTGGACTTGTGGCTCAAGTAGCAGAGTGCTAGCCTTGAGTGAAAAAGCTCAGGGACAGTGCCTGGGGCCCTGAGTTCAAGACCCACGGCAGATGGACACACACACACACACACACACACACACACATTGGTGTGGAACTGAAGGGCATATGCCCCAAGCCACCCTCAAGAGGCTCAAAATACACCAACTGAAACCACGAACAGCAGCTGCTATAGGAAGGTTCACTAACCCCTGGGTCTCCTCGACCAACGGAAGGAATTTTCCAATAAGGACTTTTCCCTTAAATTAGCCAAGCAAACATCTCAGACATAAGAGGGAAATCTGGTGGGGAACAGCCTGTGCTTCGGGAAAGGATCAGCCAAAGGGGCACCGGCAGCTCACGCCTGTCATCCCAGCTACTTAAGAGGCGGAGATCTGGGCTGGGAAGGTGGCTGAGTGGTAGGGTGCTCGCCTAGCATGCATGAAGCCCTGGGCTCCATTCCTCAGTACCACAGACACAGAAAAAGCCAGAAGTGGTGATGTAACTCAAGTGATAGAGTCCTGGCCTTGAGCAAAAGAAGCCTGGGACAGTGCCCAGGCCCTGAGTTCAAGCCCCAGGACCGGCAAAAATGACAGACAGAAAGAGAAAAAAGAGAGGGGGAGAGGGGGAGAAAGAGACTGAGATCTGAGGACCTTGGATCAAAGCCAGCCTGGGCAGGAAAGTCCCTGAGACTCTTATCTACAATTAACTACCAAAAAAAAAAAAAAGCCAGAAGTGGTGCTGTGGCTCAAAGTGGTAGAACACTAGCCTTGAACATCAAAGCTGGGGGACAGCGTCTGGGTCCTAAGTTCAAGCCCCACAACGGACCCTTTCCGCCAAAAGAAGCCAAAAACCAAGATGACTGAAACTAATGCTGATTTTCTTTCCCTAATTTTTTTTTTTTAAGGTCCAAGACCAGCACTTGAACTCAGTACCTGACGCTTTTACTCACTGGCTGGCACTCTACCAGCTGAGCTGCACCTCCAACCCCTGATGCTGATTTTCTGAGAAGACCAAACCGAACCCTTTTGGTGTGAGGAACTGCCTCTAGACCCACGGCTCAGCACATCACCTTCATGATACACACTTCCTGAGCTCCAGACGTAAACTGCTGGTTTTGGTTCTAAGGTCAGCAGATCACACTTGAGACTAAATTCCCACGCTGCTGTGGCATGAGGAGTAAATTCGTACCTATCCATTTATCATCGGGTCTAAACGTGCCACCCATTGTTCTGTGTTCAAGTTCGGGGTTGAGAGGCTGATGGTCACAATCCTCCCAGATCACCCACTTGGATGGGATGAGATCCTATATGTAAGCGATGGAGCGATTTCAGACAGCTCTAACACCACAGCGGGAGTGCTTCAGAGGACTCTGTGAGGGTTACTTTTTGTTAGCCTCTCTGTGTTCAAGGCTAGTGCTCAATCTCTGGAGCTACAGTACCACATCTGCTTTTTTTCTGAGTAGTTTACTGGAGATAGGAGTCTCACAGATGTTCCTGCCCACACTGGCTTCGGTGATCCTTAGATCTCTGCCTCCTGAGTAGCTAGGATGACAGGCGTGAGCCAAGAGAGGGTTACTTTTCTTATCCATGTGTGTGACGCTGAACGGTATAGAAGCAGATTTGGGGACTGCGTGGATTAAAAAGCAGCATTAACAAAGCCTGAATACAGACCAGCTAAAACAAACTCCAGATTAGATACAAAGGCTTTCTCTTGGCTCAGAGAGAAGGATTCTCTCAATACTTAAAAACAAATCAAAGCGGGGCATCACTGGCTCAGGCCTGTCATCCTAGCTACTCAGAAGGTTGAGATCTGAGGATCACAGTTCAAAGCCAGCTAGGGCAGAAAAGTCCATGAGACTCTTATCTTCAATAAGCCACCAGAAAACTGGAAGTGGGGCTATGGCTCAAGTGGTATGGCTCTGGCCTTGAGCTAAAGAGCTCAGGGACAGCGCCCAGGCCCAGAGTTTAAGACTCATAACCAACAAAAACCAAACCAAAAAAACCAAACAAACATCGAGGGACTTGACCTAATGCATCCTTACAGCATGGAACTATAGATGAAAGTTTCAGCTGCTTCTCTGCAAGGGTCAGGAACAAGCTCCTAGAAACTGGGAAACCAGGAGGCTTCTGATTCAACTTTTGTTAAGTGTATTCCAAGTGAACATGTCAAACTAACAAGTATTACGTTGCAGGCCGGCCCTGGTCCTGTATCTTTCTGAACCCGCCCCCACATGGAGCTCTGGCCTGATGTCATTGTTATGAGTCAAGTAACTCATAAAGCAGTCACTGGAAGCGTCATCTCAAACAGAGTAGCGCATTTTTCTGATTATTTCTTGAAAGTCCCTTCTGAAAGTCACCTAGCGAGTACATGAGCCTATCACCTTGGGAACATGGCGTTCAATGCTTTTAGGAATGCTCACATCTTAGAGTGATGGACTCTCAATATAAAAGTCAGGTGCTGGTGGCTCACGCCTATAATCCTAGTCAGGAGGCTAAGATCTGAGGATCATGGTTCAAAGCTGCCCAGCACAGACAAACCTACAATCCTCGTATCTCGGAGTGGTAGACTGCTGGCCATGAGTGAAAAAGCCAAGCAAGAGCGTGAGGTCTTGAACTCAAGCCCCAATACCAAAAAAAAAAGAAAAATTCACAAATGAGTCCTGCAACTTCCAAGATGGCACATGACCTAGAAACTATAAAAATCTTGCCAAGTAGAAAATTAATTTATCTGAGCTACAATTAATTTAGAGTTGTGTAAGAGGCTGGGAATGTAGCTTAGTGGTAGACTGCTCGCCTAGCATGCATGAAGCCCTGGGTTCGATTCCTCATTACCACATGAACAGAAAAAGCTGGAAGTGGTGCTGTGGCTCACGTGGTAAAGTGCTAGCCTTGAGCAAAAGAAGCTTAGGGACAGTGCCCAGGTCCTGAGTTTAAACCCCAGAAGTGGCAGAAAAAAAAAAAAGAGTTGTGTAAGAATCCAAAAAAAGGGGATTATAGCCAGGCACTGGTAGCTCATGCCTGTCATCCTAGCTACTCAGGAGGCTGAGATCTGAGGATCGAGGTTCAAAGCCAGCCCAGGAAGGAAAGTCCATGAGACTCTTATTTCCAATAAACCACTCAGAAAACCAGACATGATGCTGTGGCTCAAGTGGTAGGCTCACCTTGAGCTGAAGAGCTGAGGGACAGTGCCCAGGCCCAGAGTTCAAGCCCCACAACCACCACCACCAACAACAAAAATGGCGATTGTAAAATGCATGCCCATTTCTGATGAGCTTCCAAAAAAAAGAAGAAGAAAGAAAGAAAATTAAAGAATGAACCATGAGTCACTATATTTGAAAGGTTTTGTAAGAAAATAGAATGAGTCACTCAACCTTTTCTCCAAAGATTGAGGGTGTGGCTTGTGGAGAAAAGGCGCCTTATCTGTTGTGTTACACCCGCCCAGGCCCAGAAGGTGCCCTGACAGGCAGTTATTGCCTGTCGTGTACAATCTTTACACACATGTCTCTCTCCCACAGGAAGATCTGTCTCCTGCCTGCCTTTCGTCTCTGGCATGCTCCACCTTGAACTAACACATGAAAGGAAAAACAAAACAGAGATGGGGGGTGTGTGGGGGTAATGGGAGGGAATGCTAAAATATTCCACCTGCTCACCATACATTATTATATACACTGACGCTGCTAAGTGATAAGCTGCCACAGCGGGCTGCTCTCAGGAAAACGTCATGCACACACTCAGCCTTCTAATAGTAAGGAGTTTAACTTCAGAAGAAAAAAAGTCTGCCAAGTGGACAGCCAGCAGTTCTGCATGGAGTACAATCTCCTACAAAGATATGACCTGGCCTGCTGCTAGCTACTCAAGAGGCTGAGATCTGTGGGCTGGGAGAGTGGCTTAGTGGTAGAGTGCTCGCCTCGCATGCATGAAGCAGCCCTGGGTATCAGTATCACATACGCAGAAAAAGCCGGAAGTGGCACTATGGCTCAAATAGGAGAGAGCTAACCTGGAGCAAAAAGCAGCTCAGGGGCAGTGCTCAGGTTCTAAGCTCAAGCCTCAGGACTGGAAAAAAAAAAATAGAGGCTGAAATCTGAGGATTGTGGCTGGAAGCCAGCCTGGGGAAGAAAGTTTGTGAGACTTCATCTCCAAATAATCAGCAAAAACCAGGAAATGGAGCTGTGACTCAAGCGGAAGAACGCTAGCCTTGAGGAAAAAAGCTCAGGGACAGTACTCAGGCCCCAGGACTCTGTCTGTCTGTCTGTCTCACACACACACACAGAAGAAATAGATCCTCATGTGATATAACACGTCACAAACACTAGAGTTGAAACCACTACTTATTTGTGATATAACACGTCACAAACACTAGAGTTGAAACCACTACTTATTTGTGATATAACACATGTCACAAACACTAGAGTTGAAGCCACTACTTATTTGAGCAACACGCTCATTTCTCTTTTTGAGGGTGTGACACATGTGGCAATACCACCGAGAAACAACGACAACTTTAAAACAAGACCACACATAAAATCACTGAAAAAAAAAATACAGCCACTGTGTGATTTGGCATTTTGAGCCGACAGAACACTGAAGACCACCTAACAGAGTTCATTCAAATTCTCCTGCTTCACAGAGTGGCAATCGGGATCCCTTTCACACTCGGGTGAAAACCTTAAGTTTCAGAATAGACACGCAGTACTGGATACAGGAAGGGGTGGCCGTGCACCCATATTCACTGAGTGCCTATTGCGCTGGAAGATTTACACCAAAGTGGCTCATTTTAGTTCTAATTCATGCGACAACCCAGCCCAGCCCCTGAGCTGCTTCTCCACTGCAGAGATTAAAAAAAAAAAGTTTCAAGGCTTTGGGTAATATTCCCAAGGCCACAGAGAACAAGGCAGCGCTGAGGCCAGGATTTAACACATATAATCCTAGTTACTCAGGAGGCTGAGCTCAAAGGATCACAGTTCCAAGCCAGCCCAGGAAGGGAAGTCTTTGAGACTCTTATCTCCAATGAACCACCCAGAGGCTGGAAGTGGAGCTGTGAATCAAGTGGTAGAGCTCTAGTCTTGAAGTAGGGGGGGAAGCTCAGGATGGTACCCAGGGCCTGAGTTCATGCCCCAGGACCAGCACACATGCATGCGTGTGTACATACACACACACACACACACACACAACACCAGCTCTGCTTGCTCTCAGAGCCCAATGCATGGCTGCTTTTCCTCTTGCTCTGGGAGGAATGACCAAGCAGAAAACCCAGAGTTCCACTTCCTCCTCCTCAGAGGTCCCTCAGCTGCGGGCCCCGGAAGCAGTCATTTCCAAGACAGTTTTTTTTTTTTTTTTTTTTGTAATAGGAGAAATGAGTTTTATTGTTCTACATCGCAATATGGTGACACTTTCTCCAAGTGAGCTTTAAAGTGAGAGGTGAACACGATTCAGTAGTCTTTGTGACAACTTAGGGCTAAGAATGTGGCTGAGTGGCAAAGTGGGTTCCGTTCCTCAGCACCACAGATACAGAAAAAGCCGGAAGTGGCGCTGTGGCTCAAGTGGTAGAGCACTAGCCTTGAGCAAAAGAAGCTCAGGGACAGCGCCCAGGCCCTGGGACTGGCAATAATAATAATAACGATAATAAACCTTCAAGATGTGGCTTAGATACTTGTGGGGCTTGGGGGTGTGGGGGGCTGAGAACACAGTAGTAGCCCTGGCAGAAAAGTCTGAGTTGTCCCACCACCACAGCGGGAAGCTAGATGAGGTAGCTGGACGAGCCACTGACAAAGAAAAGCCTCGCATAGGCAGATCTCAGTTCAGGGGTGCCCCCATTCTGAAACTAATCAGTGAAAAAACAGGATTTAGAGGGATGACTCAGAAGTAGCATGACAGCTTCACAAGTGTAAAACCCCAGGTTCAAACTCCCATGCTGCCAAAACATAAGGAAAAAAAATAAATCAACAAGCCACCGGGCTCTGGTGGCTCGCACCCATCATCCTAGCTACTCAGGAGGCTGAGATATGAGGATTGAGGTTCAAAGCCAGCCCAGGCAGGAAAATCTGTGAGACTCTTACCTCTCACAAACCACCAGAAAACCGGAAATGGCTCCGTGGCTCAAAGTGGTAGAGTGCTCGCCTTGAATGAAAAAACTCAGGGACTGTGCCCAGATCCCCAGTTCAAGGCCCCCACCCCCCCAAAAAAAATCAGTAAGCCAATGTGATGCATAACTGTCATCCAAGCATTGGGAGACTGAGGCAGAGGGCTCCCTGACTGAGTATACAACAAGACCATGTCAATGAAGACAAGAAAACATACACATGAGCAAACAAAACCAAAACAAGAACTTCCTTCTTCCAGAGCCCATTTTATTGCTGGTGCCTAACCCTTGAACCAAGTGGGACCAGCAGCTATTTGTGGGCCCTCAGGAACACAGAGGCTGTGAAGGGTTCTTCCAAACACAGATCCAGCTTGCCGGACATAGCAGCAAAGAAATGAAGCTGGCCGGGCGCCAGGGGCTCACACCTGTCATCCTAGCCTCTCAGGAGGCTGAGATCTGAGGATCGCAGTTGGAAGCTGGCCTGGGCAGAACAGTCCCCGTGAGACTCTCAGCTCCAACGATCCACTCCAAAACTGGAAGTGGTGCTGTGGCTCAAAGTAGCAGAGTGCTAGCCTTAAGCACAAAGAGGCTCAGGGACAGAGCCCAGGCCCTGAGTTCAAGCCCCACAACTGACTAAATAAATAAACAAATAAATAAAGCTCAAGGAATCAGTGGATCTTGGATAAAATGTTTGGAGAGGGGACTAACTCACTCTCTAGGACAAAGGCACAGAGCCTACTGCAACCTTAAAGGTTTAGCCAGTTTGTAACCCAAGAGGAAAACCTTCATAAAAGCCACACAGTATCAATCTGGCTACTGGAGAATATTTAGTCATGACTGATGCTTTCATAAGCTCGTGAAACTGTGTGTGTGTGTGTGTGTGTGTGTGTTACGTGCCATTTCTGGAGCTTGAACTCAGGGCGTGGGTACTGTCCTTAGGCTTTTTTTGTTCAAAGCTAAGTTCCACTTGCACCACAGCTCCACTTCCGGCTTTTGTGGTGGTTAACTGAAGAGTCTTATGGACTTTCCCGCCCGGGCTGGCTTCAAACCTCGATCCTCAGATCTCAGCCTCCTTAGTAGTTAGGATGACAGGTGCGAGCCACCCCCGGTGGCCAGCCTGCTTGTGAAACTAAGTCAAGTGAACGCAGAACCGCCATCTGGTTTCTGGAAGGGTAGGTTCCAAGATGGACTTTTACCTGGCCTGCTGCCCCGGCTGGAGGGGTGAGGCGGGGACTCTTCCTGAACATCTCACCGCATGCCAGCTACCACGTGACACGGCGGACACTGCTCAAGCCGTCGGATCCCCACATCCACTCTGCCTTGTAGGAATGAACCCCTGGCTTTCCTTCTCTCTGCTTGGGGAGGAAGACACTCAAGCAGAGAGAGCTAGGCATTAAGTTCACATCTCGAGGAAGTGGTGGAGACAGGATACACCCCCAAAGCTGACCTTTTTTTTTTTTTAGTTACTACAACCGCTGAATTTTGCCTAGTAACCAGAAGATGAACGGGGGAAGGGTAAGTCCGTTTCCACCAGGAACCTGGGTTACTAACCGTTTGGCTAGCTTGCCCATAAACGGTTACATACGTAGAGAGCCGGTGCTACCGGTACCGGTAGATCCCGAGCGTTCATGGCCTCAGGCTTGAACAAAGGCATTCTGGACTGGAAGGTGGGACCCAGCAGGACCCCAGCCCACGGTTACGAGATAGATCCTGCCCTTAGACAGCAGGAGGGCCATGTCGCCTGAGCCCAGGAGTCACCGAAAGGTTAAATCCCTACGGTGTGCTTTCTGCCGGGGATCATTTCTTGTGGGGGTCAGGTGCCAGGATGCTGCTCTCTCTGGGAGAAAGCCCACCCATGCTAGGCAAAGCCCCACCCGCTAAGGTTCCCCCCTGGGGGTGCTGAGGACACCCGGCCCTGCACTGTGCTGCGACACTCAGCCACTGCGACATCACCCAGGTAGGAGCTTGGCTCTTGGAGGGACCAAGAGCTAGAGCTTTCTCTAACAGGTACACCTAAAAACTGCTCCTGTGGAAAAAGGAAACACCAAAACGAAACAGCAACAAACCCCCAAAAACAAACAAGCAAAGACAAACGCCAGTTCTGCATTGGGCCCACAAACGAACAGAACGCTCGAGAAAAACTTGGCATTCCTGCCTCCATGTTGCATTTGTCTCCTGTGCGCTGAGACTCTCTCTGAGTGAGTCTTCTTGGGATGCAGAGAGACAGGACTGACAGATGGATAAACAGGGAAGAGTCAAAGCCAGCCTTGCACCAATGGCTCACACCTGTAACTCTAGCTACTCCAAAGGAGGCTGAGATTGGAAGACTGTGGTTCAAAGCCAGCCTGGGCAGGAAAGTTCCTGATATTCTTATCTACACTTGGCCACCTGAAAAACCGGAAATGGAGCTGTAGCTTATTGTGGCACAATGCTAGCCATGAGCAAAATAGCTCAGGGACAGTGCCCAGGCCCTGAGTTCAGGACCTAGGACCAACACACACACACACACACACACACACAAATAAATGTATATTACAAAATGTGTATTACAAAATGGTGAATAGAAGAAGCCTTAAAATCTTGAAAGTTATACTTTTCAATGTCGAAATATTTGTAGATCCTGGATGGACTCTGAGTTTTATAACCTTGCAAGATAACCTTTTTCTTTGAGGGGGAGGGGAAGAGATGAGTCTTAGAAAGCTTAAGTGACTTGCTTCGAGTCATAAAGTATGTCAGTGACAAAGCCCAACTCTCCAGACTAGCTGCCCAATCATCTGCGCGCCGCCAAGTCATTATCTTCCTAACTAACCAGTCTTTCTGGAATCTGTGTTGCGAATGCTCGGTTTAGAAACACACTTCACATGCCAAGGTCGCAGTCGGCGACTGGGCTGTGGCCGGAAGTGTACTTTGTCTCCAGACACCCTTTCCATCTCTGCTGACCCTGAACAGCAGATAGTCACGTAATCCAAGAGGTTACACCAGTCGCCAAGCACCTGTGGCTCACAGCCATCATCATCTTAGGGACTCAGATCTGAGGATTGGGGTTTGAAGCTAGCCCAGGGCAGGAAAGTCCATGAGGACTCTTAGCTTCAAGAAATCACAGAAAAAGCTGGAAGTAGCGCTGTGGCTAGAGTGCTAGCCTTGAGCAAAAGAAGCCCACAGACAGTGCCCAGGCCCAGAGTTCAAGCCCCAGTCCTAGTTTGGGAACCAAAAACAAGACAAAATTCCATGCACCTTGAGGACTATAGGTTGGGAGAGACTTTGAAGACCCCCTTCCCGAGGCCACACATATACACACACATTTAGGCTGCATTGGGATGGTTAAATTAGGAACATGTACCTCTGGCTTTCTTACTTTCCTGACAGCCAGGAGTGAGAGACCTGGCTATTTGTCTCTGGACAACTGTTCCCAAAGAAGAATGCAAATAATTTTAAAGACACCAAAACAGGAAGGAACAAGAGGCGGCATGGCGTTAGCCTCCCCCAGCGTTGCTGGGTGACATTGAGGTGTCACCTTTCTTGTTTCTACCTTGCTCTTCCTTTCAGGGCTGTTGGGGGTGTGGATACTGCCATGGATGTGTGACCCCCGCCCCTTTCTTTCTCACACAGGACTTCATGAGACATAGGAAATGCCTTGCTGATTCTCAAAATAAAATATATGTGAAAAACACTTCCTCTGATTGAGAATAAAGCACTAGCTATATGCCTGCCTCTGATGTGGAGTGAGCGTTACCCACCCTGCTGTCGACTCTCCTAACACTGTAATCCCAAATTACAATGTCTAGTATCAGACAGACAGACATTTGCTGGCTAACCAGGACAGGTTATTTAATACCTACTTAAGACAAGGTACGGGCAGGACAGATGCAAAGTATTTAAAGGAAAAGGAAGCCAGGCGTGGATGGCTCATGTCCGTACGTAATTCTAGCTACTCAGGAGGCTGAGATCTGAGGATCGTGGTTCCAAGCTAGGCCGGGGCAGGAAAGTCCACAAGACACTCTTCTCCAATTAATCACAGAAAAAGCTGGAAGTGGCGCTGTGGCTCCAGTGGTAGAGCACTAGCCTTGAGCAAAAAGGAGCTTAGGGACAGCGCCTGGGCCCAGAGTTCAAGCCCCAGGACTGGCTAAATAAATAAATAGATATAAGAAAAGCAGTAGATCACTTTGTGCTTTTCTAGGGTCTCGGGGTACTGGTGAATACGCCTAAAATGTGGCCAGGTCTGCTTAAGCCTAAGGAGTAAAATATCCCCTGTTCGGTTTTTAAGTTTTCTGTAAGTTCAGCACCACAGGTTCCGCACTGCCCCCAAGCTCTTCTGTAATGGGCTTTATTTTTTATAGCTTTAATTAACCAAGGTTAGGTGGGAGAGATTTACTCTGTGTGTGTAATACCCTATGATTGTAATGTTGATGGTTGACTGCTAGTCTTGCATTTGGTGCAAGGCCTGTACAATTAGCATCTTGTTAGGGACTGGCTTTTCTTCTAATTACCACACAGCTTGAGCGCTTTATTTTATTGTCTTGTGCGTCCTGCAATAGCTCCAGGGACCTGGACTCTCCAGCTATAATAAATCTTAACCTCCTTTTAGGCAAGTGTTTTAGGCTTCTCCCATCCTGAGGCCCCTTAGAACTGGGAGGGTGGGGGAGAGACACTCGGACAACTTGAAGGCAGGCAAACACTTTGTGGATGTCTGGAGAGCTGGCGGATGTTTGTTCTGAGAGCGTGGCACATGGCTGGAATCTGGCTTTCTTCACTAATGTTTACTCTACTCCCCACCCTCCTTCACTGTTGAGGGCTCTCAGCTACTTGGGAGTTAAAATTCTACCTGTGTCCCTTTATCTAAGGGGATGGCCTGAAACCCACAGGAACTTGTCATCTGTACTCCACTAGAAAAGGGGGATGTGGGAATTCCTGCTTGAACTGACTCCTTGTTTTGGGGTTAAACCTACATGTAGTTTCAAGGGCGGTTTAGCAAACAAGGAGCCTCTTTTATCAGATACTGTGGGCAATGAAATCAAGTTTTCTTGGTGGCTGCACTAGGTGACAGGACTGCAGGTGTGCTTGCCAGATGAGTGGCTCATACCTATATTCCCAGCTAACTAGTGGAACAAAGACAGTGAGGATCATAGTTCATGGCCATCAATGGGGCCTGGGAAATGGATGGGGGGGGGAGGCAGGGGTTACCAAGACTCCATCTCAACAAAACAAAGAGGCATAGGTAGAAAGATCTCAAATCTACGCTCGGTGAGACTGTACCCAGAAAATTATCTAAAGCAAAAGGCCCGGAGAGGGATGGTTCAAGTGGTAGAACAACAACGAGCACAAGGGCCTAAGTACCCTAAAAACAAAAATTGAGGAGGGGGTGGGTAGAAGTACAGGAGCTTGAATGTTCGAGACTCAAATCCTGTCTCTGTCAGTTATTAAATATGTAATCTGTGACCTTGTGCGAAGGCACTTAAGCTCTGTACCTCAATTTCCCCAGCTGGCTGTGTTAAGGACAATATTCATAAAAATTTGTGCATCAGAACAATGCTCAGAGCCAGGTGCCGGTGGCTCACGCCTGCCATCCTAGCTACTCAGGGGGCTGAGATCTGAGGATCACAGTTCAAAGCCAGCCCGGGCAGAAAAGCCCGAGAGACTCTTATCTCCAATGAACCACCTGAAAACTGGAAGTGGCATTGTGACTCAAGTGATAGAGCTCTGACCTTGAGCTGAAGAACTCAAGGGACAGCGCCCAGGCCCAGAGTTCAAGCCCCATGACCAAAAAAAGAAAAAAAGGTCTAGCAACAATAGAGTGATTAGTGAAAATATTGTTTTAGTAGAGTTTTAAAATGAACACTGTATCATTTACATTTCTTCACACCTTCACTCAGGCCCAGATATCACTTATAACATCATTCAGCAAGCCCAGAGTTCAAGCCCCACAACTGACCAAAAAAAAAAAAGAAAGAAAGAAAATAAAGTTTCAATAAGAACGGCGACCTTTTTCTATGTATCAATGTGGCTCCTTTAAAACTGGCGGGCACCCTGAGACCTCCACCTCAAGGTGTGACCCTTGCAAACATTCTCTCTAGATATCCAGGGCCCACACTCCCCCAATCCCCCCACTACTCCTCTGCCTGAGATTGGTTCTTTTCCTTTCCAACAGCGATTCATAATTTCCCAGTGATCACCTCCACCAAATAGGGACATCCAAGAAGCTGGGTACACGCAGGGAGGGAGACTGCGCACCCCACCTGAGCAGGTATTTCCCCCCCCACACACACTTTTCTTTGGGACACTGTTCTAGCAGGCACATGAGGCAAGCGGCCTTTCGATGAGAAGGGGAAAGATGAGAGGCAGGAAGAAAAAGCTGCAATGAGGAGGAGACAAGAGGGACAGAGAGTCTGAAATAGACAATGCCACGGGTAGAGGCAGCCGCTGCACTAGTGCCCAACTCCTGGCCCGGACCCTTCCCATTGAGAATAAACTAAAAGATGGTGGGAGGAAAGGAGAGGAGAGAGAGGAGAAAGGAGAGGAGAGAGGAGAGAGAGGAGAGAGAAGAGAGAGGAGAGGAGAGAGAGGAGAGAGAAGAGAGAAGAGAGAGAAGAGAGAGGAGAGAGGAGAGAGAAGAGAGAGGAGAGAGAGAAGAGAGAGGAGA